ATTCTCCTGGGCAAAGCAAACTTTCTGCTCTCAGATTTTGACTCATACAGTTGGATCTTTATGAAACAATCCTGACAAATCTACATGTAATAGGTAGTAGCCCCAAAGCGATCTGATTCCAATTGTTAGAGGAGAGAATTAGGTCAGTTAGATTTTTTTACAGCAGCTCTTGTGGCAGTTTCTGTTTAAGTGGCATCAGCAGGTCATAACAGAGAAACACATCAGCATCCATTTTGTTGTTTGTTGCACAGCAACAGTGTGCATTTACTAAGCATAATTAACACTTGAAAGCCAAGCATATCATAATGGATGTATTCCCATGCTGCAAATATGCTGTCACCAGTTAAATCTGAAGAAAGTGAGTACCAGTAAAATGAAAAACTACTTACTTGAGTGCTGTGATTTGAATGAGCCATGCTGGCAGTGTACTATACCCAGTTAAACAGCAGAACGGGGGAAGTCAGTTTTCTGGCTATTCTACCATTACTATTATGTGGAGCTACAATAGTAAAAAAACACAGACACTGGTACAGATATTACCAGATATATGCATTAATAGTACATAAGTCATACAAGAAAACAAATTAAGTACATATATTAAGCTGAAGGAGGGCTGCAGATGATTGACCCAGTTACACAGTCATTGCCTATAGAGGACGCTGTTAGAGGTAAAGTGAGCCTTCTGCTAGGAGACATCGACAGTTTAATTGGTCAACATCATAGCTTGCACTTTTATTGGTTGGAGAATTTTGACACAGTTGTTTCATAAAGCAGACATTTCACGAGCGTGCAGACGCAGCGTAAGCGCGGACACACTGAACTGAAGCACAAGCTGATTGTGCAGCAACAGTAAGTCTGACTGCAAACAGTTTTGAACTGGAGCTGTTTTAGGGATAGGGCAGGGTTTTCAGGGACAGCATCACATATTCTGAACGTAAACTACAGGAGACATGGTCTCAAACTGGAAGTTTATGATTTTCGTTAAAGATGTGAAAGCAACTCCAGACAAAGAGCTGTAACTGTTTCTGCAGGACAGCAGACGTCTCACTACCAGATTGGGCCACTAATGGGATGAAGGAGACCAAAAACATAATGAATGCCTGTTTTAAAGATTGCGTCCAAAAAACCATGTTTGCTTCTGGGTCATTTCATCTCAAATCATTGACCGTCTCTGATTTACATTAAACTTTTTAAACCTGAACTATGGATGTTTAAAATGGTAACATACCTTTATTTCAACTCACTTTTTTTTTTTTTTTGCATATTGAAATTTGAAGCTATGTTTGAACTACAATATCTTCGATACCATCAAAGATAAAAGCCTGATTTTTTTTTCTTATTGCTCATTGTGCCATTGATTTAGAACTTGTTATCTGAAATCTGGAATTATTATTGGCCAGTAGATCAGGTAGTATCTGATTATGGGTGGGTTTAATATTAAAACAAAAAAGCTGTCATGAAAAGTCCCATCTTTAACAAAAAAGTAATGATGCTTAAATCAACTTGTGATATTTTCTGAACCACATGTAGCTGCATGTCACAATAATACAAAACAAAACATATCGAGTACTTTTTAATATGAAATATTTGNTTTAGATGATTAGCACCCCTTTGTGTTTCTTATGTAATGGTTGTTATTTCCTTTGGAGACTGCTGCACTTAGTAAAAAACTGATCGACTCTATATCATCTTTTCTGTACACAAAGAATGTAGTATGATTCGATGTTGTATAATTAGAAAAACAAAGCAGCTAGAAATTGCACAGACATATTGCTTGGTTTAGAATTTCAATATACAGTGATGGAAATAAGTATTTGCGCTGACGTCTTTGCGTAGCTCGTTCGTCTTGCCTATGGTAGTGAAGTTGAAGATGCAAAGTGTGGACAGGTTTTATTTTACACATGTAAACATAACCAGTCAGATTATTAGTTTGTGAAGCAGAATGGGCTGATATGTGTGTCTCTTGGTTACATAACCAATCTGTATGAGCCAGAATTCTTACTGGTAGGAGGGATAGAATACTTATTTCTCTTGATCAACTGGAAATGAATTTATAACTGTTAGATAATGTGTTTTTCTGGATTTTTTGGGTGATATTCTGTCTCTTATCGTTAAATAAACCAACTATTAAAATTGTAGTTTTTTTTATATGTGACCAAAATCATAAAATATGCAGGGGATCAAATATTTACTTGAAATGAAACATAATTTGGGAACATGTAGGTACTATATACAGTCTTGACTTGACATTCTGACCCTTAAAAATCTGAAAACCTTGCGATCTGACAGGTTTTTAGGAAAAACGAATGGAACCCATAAAAAATAGCCTTAACATACCAACACCCTTGGATTCTGACTCCGACATGACATTTTATGTCACAAATAAGGGTAACGGTGTATTATCTGACTTAACAATCAGACAGATTGGTTACGTTCAGACTGCAGGACTTAATGCTCAATTCGGATTGTTTTTGCGAGTTCGTTCACATTTCCAATTAAATACGACTTGTATGTGATCTCCTATGTGAGCTTCACCCAAAAGTGTCCTGCATATGTAGAAGAGGACACAACGATGTCACTCGCAGCGAGCGTGCTCAGTGTTTGTGGAAGTAAACACGGATGGTAGCGGTGGAGCGTAACTGCCACTCCCCCACCGCCACCGTTAGTAGAAACAGAACTGTGACCGCTATCTTAAACTGGCATCAGCAGCCAAGTACTGCCTGTGCATTCCGGTCACTTCCACCCCGTTGGAGTGCTCCCCCGGGTGGAAGTGGTCCCCCTGGTCAAACCTATATTCATCATTAATTGGATCTGTGTTGTTCGGACTGTCATGAAAAGATCAGATATCGGTCGCATAGGTGAAAAAAGAAGGTTTTACATTTAGTGTTGGATTATCGAGTCACGACTGTATCTGCTTAGGGTGTGGTTCTGCTGTGTTGTGGGGTAGGCTTTGTCAGGGGTCAGCAGCAGATCCTGGTCTTGCAGACCTACAAAAAACCCCAGTTAGTGATAAAGAGAAGACTAAATGTTGCACAGATCTTGGAGGTTAGAGTGGAAGTAAATTTGATATGCTTGTGATGACCAGTGAATACGGATGTGATGAAGAGATAATGTGGAGGAAGGGAGTAGCCTTTATATCTAGACATACACAGTGTTTTTGTAATGTACTTTAGTTTGCACTTAGATGTTTCTCACTTCTCGTTCTTGGCTTGTTTTATTTTAAATAAATGGCAGTGATGGCCTAATGATTAGTGAAGCAGTCGTGTGACCACAAGATAAATATGGGTGAAACTTAAAAGCAGCATTCGCACCTCCTTCACACCACTGAGTTCCTCTTGAGCAAAACCTTAACCTCAGCTGCACATTTGACTGTGGTTGTACCAGGGTGTTTTCAGTTGTGAATGTATGAGCATCACTGCATTTGTGTAAAAGGGAATTTTGCTTTATGTAAAACTTTACCAAATAACCATAGTGAAAATTGAATTTTTTTCAAAACTGGATTATGCCTGTTAGGGTTTTACAGTATTTGTATGCCTGTCTATTTGTTACCACACATTCTCTAAACTCTATGTTCTGTTATCATGTCATCATAAATACAATACAATACAATACAATACAATACAATACAATACAATACATGTAATTCCTGATAGTGTATGTATGACCTCAGTGCTCATAAGCAGGTTGTTGTCTGGGCAATTGAATGACATGTCCCTAAATCATTAGAGTCTTGACAAAGCTAACATACACTTTTAAAGACCACGTATGTCATGGTAGTCTTGAGTTTTCATTGACTCCTATAACTTTATTTTTTCTTTGATGGACTAACTGAAACCCATACATCACAAAACCAATCATATATTATGATTCTTTAATAGAGTCAGTAAAGGTCTTCTGAAAAAAATGATAAAATCTGCTGGGTCAAAAAATACATACAGCAACTCTAATAGAAATACAACGTCCCGTAAAAGTCCCTTGGCTATTTTTTTATCTCAACTAGACGCTTCTGGTAGCCGTCCACAAGCTTTTGGTTGTATATTTGACTACTCTTCAACAGAAATGGTGCAATTCAACTAAATTTGTTAGCTTTCTGACACAACCTTGTTTCTTCAGCAGAGACCACAGGTTCTTGATGGGGTTTAAGTCAGGACTCTGGGGAGGCCAGTGTTGGGCTCATTAGCTTATTGATAATTTTAGGCTTTCTTGAAGAATGTGGAGGTAATCCTCCTTCTTCATTACTCTATTTACTCTGTGTAAAGCACCAGTTCCATCGGCATCAGAACAGCCCCAGAGCATAATACTACCATCACCACACTTGTTGGTAGGTCTGGTGTTGTTGGGGTTAAAGGCCTCATCTTCTCTGGTCTCATATATTGCTGGTCATTGTGGCCAAATAGCTCAACTTCTGTTTTATATGACCACAGAACTTTCCTCCTGGAGGCATTTTCTTTGTCCGTGTGATCAGCAGCAAACTTCAGTTAAGACTTAAGGTGCCGTTACTGGAGAAAAGGCTTCCTTCTTGAACGGTAGCATCTCAGCCCATGGTGATATAAACCATGCTTGACTGTGGACACTGCAGATCTGCTTTTTGGTGACTCTTCACCATCCTTAGCAATTGTCTCTCAGCAGCAGGTGACAGGTTGTGTTTTCTTCCTGATTGTAGCAGTGACACAACTGCTCCATGCACTTAAGTTTACAAAAAAAATGTTTTCATAGATGATTTTGGGATCTGTAGCTGCTTTGAATGGCTTTGAGTTACTTTCCTGACTTGTTCAAGTCAATGATGTGCTTTTCAGATATTTGCTGAATTCCTCTGGCTTTCCCATTGTAGCGTTTGTGCTTCAGTCTGATGATTGTATCAAATGGGCCTTATATAAATTGGTTTATAAGAGTCAGCAGCTGTAGTCAATCGTGATCACTCACATGAAATTAAGATGTCATGCCACTAAGAAATTTGATTAACACAGCTTTCTGCATCACCAAAACTGATAATAAAGTTGCTGTATGTATATTTTTGACCCAGCAGATTTTTTTCATTTTTCCAGAAGACCTAAAATAAATGTATGAAAGAATCAAAATTCATGATTGTTTTTGTGACAAAAAGGGATGTTTTTCAAAGATTCCATTCTAGACAAATTAGAGTTATTGGAGTCATTAAAACTGAAATGATACACGGTCCTTACAGGTGTGTACACTTTTGTTGATGACTTATTCCATGCCATGACTGAATCTTATGAATTCCCAAAGTGATAACTGCTCACAACCCTATCATGGATTTGAAAGTTCTTTGGCTCTGATCTGTGTAATAACTAACCAGCATCTGATTGTTCCCTGTTGTTTCATAGCAACTACATCATGTGTAAAACAATGTTTTTGATGTATTTTCTTAGTATGATTTTTCAGGTGGCTTCTTATCAGAAAGATACATGAATTTAATTTACTCTTCAGTAAAACTTGGATTATGGTGTTAACTCTGCCAACTGTTTCGGGAAAATTTAGTAAGTTCACATGTTTGCTTTTGTCTGTGCTAGTGGAACTTTCCTCTGCTGATGTTCATGTGGAAGATAGCACCAGCCTTGAGTTGTGGAAACACTGTGGTCATTAAGCCAGCAGAGCAGACCCCTCTCACAGCCCTCCACGTTGGATCGCTCATCAAAGAGGTACGATGTTGGGCTCAACATGTACAGTGGGACTGATCCAAGCCAAGAGCTAAGAGAGGTTTAGACTTCTAACCATATTTTTCTTGAACAAATTCAGGGCCTGTATTCTTATAGAAAATCCAAATTGTGATTAGTTTGTTTTGCCTCTAATATGATTTGGTACTGACTGCATCCTGCAAGTGAGACAATCAGAACCATCCATTTTCTTCCGCTTATCCAGGGTAAGGTTGTGGAGGCAGCAGACAAAGCATGTCATTCCCAAGTCCCTTCCCCCGGCAACGCTTTCCAGTTCTTCTTGGGGGATCCCAAGGCGTTCCCAGGCTAGCTGAGAAATGTAATCCCTCCAGCAGGTTCTGGGTTTACCCCGGTGTCTCCTCCCAAGCGGATGTGCTTGGAAAACTTTGAAAGGAAGTCTCCCCAGAGCCATCCAAATCAAATGTCCAAACCACCTCAGCTGGCTCCTTTTGATGCGAAGAAGCAGCGGCTCTACTACAGACTCTCTCTGGATGTCCAAGCTCCTCACCCTATTTCTAAGGCTGAGCCCAGCCACCTTTCAGTGGAAGCTCCTTTCGGTTGCTTGTACCCGTGATCTCGTACTTTCATTCACTACTAAGAGCTCTAGACCATAGATGAACATTGGGACGTAGATGGACTGCTATACTGAGAGCTTCGCCTTACGACTCAGCTCCCTCTTTACCACAATAGTCCAGTACAACGCTCACATTACTGCTGACCCTGCACCAAGCTGCCTGTCCATCTCACGCTCCATTTTCCCATCACTTGTGAACAATATCCCAAGATACTTAAGCTCCTTTGCTTGGGAAGCAACTCCCCCCTCCCCCAACCCAGAGGGCGCAATCCACCAGTTTCCAGCAGAGAACCATGGCCCCGGACCTGGACGTGCTGACTTGCATCCTTGCCGCTTCATACTTGGCTACACTGCTCCAATGGTGCTGATAGTCACAGTCTGATGAAGCCAGCAGTACCACATCATCTGCAAAAAGCAGAGATGTGATTCTGAGGTCCTCAAACCAGACACTCTCCTCACCTCGCCTGTGACTTGAGATCCTGTCAGTGAACACCACAAACAGGATCGGAGACAAGGGGCAAACCCGGCTGGGTCCAACACCCACTGGGAACGTGTCTGACTTTGTGCCAAGAATGCAGACACAGCTCTTACTGTGGTTATACAGGGACAGAATAGCTTGTATCAGCAAGCTCAGTACCCCATACTCCCGCATTATGCCCCCAAAGAGATCCTTGGAGGACATGGTTGTAGGCCTTCTCCATATCCACAAAACACATGTGAACTAGCTGGTCAGACTCCTATGCCGCCCTCAGCACCTCTGCAAGGGTAAAAATCTAGTCCACTGTTCCACGACCAGGATAGAATTGCTTCTCCTTAATCCTTGCTCCAGGAGGAGGTTTATTGAATCATTCTTTGGCTGGTCCTTCCCCCAGGACCAGTTTGACTTGGGAGACCCTACCAGGGGCTATTGCCCCGGACAACATAGCTCCCAGGATCACAGAGACACTTAAATCCCTCCACCGCAGTAAGGTGGAAATTCATCGGGGGGCAATCTGAACCAGAACACTCCCACTATGCTTCCTAAGGTGTGATTAGGAGACTCCAAATGGTGCTTTCCATTCAACAACAATTTTCTTAAATGAGACAATGGGCTTTGCAGTTGTCAATCTTCCTTGCTGACCTCAAGTAATATTGACATCTAAATACAATGAGAAATGCAGAATTCAGCCTGGAAAATCCATACCATCTGTAAGTTTTAGTTGCAGAAAAAACTTTGTAATACAACATTACATTGGTGTCCTGAAAATGGGGTAACTCCATGTGATAAGGCAGGTCTGTGTAGGTTCCAAAACCTACTGCCAATATTTTATTGTTGACCCTAAATCACTGGCAGTTCCTTGCATTAACATACTGTCTGGATTGCTGTTTAAGGCGGAGTTCCCTCCTGGAGTTGTGAACATTGTTCCAGGGTTTGGTTCCACAGCAGGAGCAGCCATTGCCAGCCACAAGGACATTGACAAAGTGGCCTTCACTGGCTCTACAGAGGTATGTGAGTGTATGACAATGCACTTCTGCTACATGGTCATCAGTTTAATAAATGAATAATAGTTAAATAATAAAAACTTAAAATCAAGCAGGCATTTGAGTGGTGCAGTCCTTCTTTAAACAATATCAAACAATTTCTTTTTTTCACACTGTCAGTGGTAAATTCTAACTAAAGCAATGCAGGTGCTTGCAAAGAAAATCTAGAGGACAATGGAGTGAGCATTGGGTTGGTGCTGTGTGAAATTACCAGTTATTCAAAGATAATTGTATTAGTGAATTATAATTTACAACTTAGATAACAAACTACATTAAAGAACATTTTAAAACATATCTGATCCTGTACACGGGACACCAATTAGCAATGGGTATCCCCCCAAATTTTACCACAGTAGTTGAACCATAGTAAAGTACACAACAAAGCAGAGACATTTTTTGCACCCTAAACTACTGTAAAGAAACTAAATTTAAAGCCTGGTGTATCTGTCTGTAACCTCAGTGAATTGATTGTGGTAATTTTGCTCACTCACAGATATGTAATGATTTTGACAAGTGATTAATCTCAAAATGAACTGGGTTCTCTTTATCTGCCATTTGTACTCGCATGAAAATCTGATCATGTTTAAGGTCTTATTTATTCAGAATGAGAGAAAACTGAAGATAAACCGTGTGTATAAATAATTTGAAACAGTGTATTCCCATGTGAGACGTGTTGGATTACATTCGGGGAAAAAATCCACGTTATAATCTTTGCACTGAGTGCAGACTTTAGGTCTTTTTGGACAAGTCAGAAGTCAGAGTCCAAGGCACACTTCAGCGGTCCTGGAGCAGATAAGGCTAAGCTTGGCAGTGCTGGGGCTGTACCCTTTGATCGGTAGCCTAGAGCTTTAACCTCCGAACCAGCACTGCGCATGGCTCAGGTAGAGAGGAAGACACCAGTCCAGGGCACACATGATGCTGCATCTACAGGACATTGCAGGACGGAGGGAGATGCTTTGTGGGAAAGTGGGGAAGGGTGATTGCAAGCTTCACTGGACTCACCTGTCATTTTCTTTGCAATGCAATGGGTTTCATGTATAGTCCCATTAGTTTCCATTTAGGTATGTGTATGGGTTCCACATATGAATATACATGGACTGTACATGTAATCCCCTGGGCTTTAGTAGGGTGCATGGAAGCTTCACCCCTCACTCAGTTTAGTTTCCCTCTCCTACCTTTTAGCTGTTGCACCTGGAGAAACAGTCCACACAATACTGCACTTGTTAAAAGTGTTTTTGTGAAACTTAGAAAACGTGCAGGATTTGTCACATGTGGAAGAACTTTCCACATCTGCTCCACATGTTATGTTCTGTGGTGACATGATTTCCACATGGGCTCTATGTGGCACCACAAGTTTCACACGTGCACCCATGTGTCGTGACATGTTATCGACACGTGATCACGTGTGGAAAACATGAAATGTATGTGATTTTTCTGTAATAGTCAGTCATACTGATATATATTAAGGTATGATTCCTATTTCCATGCAGGTCGGCCAACTGATCACAGAGGCAGCAGCCAAAAGCAATTTGAAGAGAGTGACTTTGGAGCTGGGAGGCAAGAACCCTTGCATTGTATTTGCTGACTGTGATTGTAAGTAGATGTGCTTTCTTTGTCTTATTTTCCAAAAGTGAATTGTATTGATATTTATATATAATAAATTCAGAGAAAAGACTCTTAAAAACAGCTGGAAGCAACAAACTAAAAATATCCTTCAGTTCCTGTTAACGTTTCGATGTCTGTGTCGCTTCTGTCAGCTAAAGGCACCCGAACCCTGTCCTAAAGCTCATGAAAGCTTTCACAGCCGACTGGCTACTGCTGCACAGTCGTTACAGTCAGCTCATTTTGCCGGCACCGTAGTGCATTTACTGAAACTTGGACATTGGCTTTTCAGTGGATAAACTTGGTCTATCAGATTTGGTGTGGCCACTAGGGTAGCCAATTAAGACTCCAGGGGTGGCCAAATACAAGTCTTATCAATAAAATGTTAAAGTAAGTTTTCAGAATTCGCAGTCTCTTTATGGCACGTGTAAGCAGGAGGAATTGTGACAGTGTTTAAAGTGCTAAATGCAACACAAAATATGTGATAGTTTATGGTAATATGTCATTGGTACTTTGGTTTCACTGTTCTGACAGCCTCTTGATAACTCGACAGAGCTCAAAACATATCAGATGGCACCTGAACTTGGTTTGTTTCTACTTTTGTCTTGTCTACAGACCTGTCTGAGAGCACGAGTGACATTATTTAGCCAAGACTCAGTTTTTGGTTTAGAATGCTTAGTTTTAAGAGTAGCAACAGAATCAGTTGCTGAGTCAGTGCAGAAGTAGTATTTGTATAAACCATTGAAAAATGTCCAGGAGTAGCTGTAGCAGAAGTGTTAACGTCACAGAGGGGTAGGCCACTAGATAAGACTAAGTCCAAAATACATATGTGTTTTTGTGTGAAGCTTTTAACTGACTGAACAAGATTAAGATCAAGATGTCATTAATATGTACTGTCCTATCTTGGCATTATTCTTGTCAACAATTCAGAGAAGTCTTGAATAAAAGCCTTGTTGTTTTTGGGTGTTCAGCAAGCACACAGCAATGGGGAGAAATCTGTTTGAAACAGTTGTAATTCAAAGCTGGAATAAACATGAACGTTAGCTGCTGGCAACTGTTTTTTTTTTTTTTTTTTTAAACTTAAGAAAATGGGCTTAACTCAGTATCGTTATCCAAGTTTCAGTCAAGTAGAAGTAGAAAATCTCAATCTAGGGATCAGTGTACTTCATTAATAGCATATGTATTTGGTAAACTAATACACATTCCACTGTCAGACACAGCTAGAAGCTGTGTTTTTATGAAATACATTCATATTTAAGTACACTGGGGTCAGTTTAAAAGTATATTCTTCTTGGAATTTGAAAGGATTTAATAGCCTGGTTCCAGATCTCAAATGACTGGCCCCATTTCCCACACTTGATCTAATGTTCTGCTCACTGACAGCTGTATCATCAGTTTACAAAAAGCAAATCAGAGTTTTGAAGAACTGATTATGAAACTCTGAATGAGGAAAATATTTACAAAAATATTGGCTACAAAATCCAATGTTTCGAACGTCCTGGCTCTGGTTAATTTTGAACTATATGACTAATTATGATTAGACAACTACAGTATATTAACAGAGTAGACAAAACAGGCAGAAGAAATACATAAAAAATGTAAAATACAGCCCTTTATAAATGCACCATCAACTCCTAAAATGCACTAAACAACACTGACTGGTGTGGTATGTGGTATGAAAAAAGTATGAGGAATTGTCATTTTCTTACCTAAACAGCAAAAATTTTCCTAAAATGTGTTTTTTGTTTATTGTTCACGTCTGACATGTGTATATGTGAATGTGTTTGTTTACAGTACAGATGGCTGTGGAGGAAATCCAGAAAGGAGCTTTTTATAACCAGGGTCAGTGCTGCACAGCTGCATCACGTGTCTTTGTGGAGGAAACTATTTATGAAGAGTTTGTGCATCGCAGCATAGAAAATGCCAAGAAGATTGTTATAGGAGACCCACTGGACCCGCAGACATCACATGGCCCACAGGTATGAACAAACAGTCAACATAGTAGAACACATATTATACACAACTAATGTGTTTTAACCATTGGGGTAAATTTATGACTCTTTACAGCTAAATACCACATGTTGACCACTAGACCAGTTTGGAAGTGCACAATGTTCCACCACAATGTGTGTTCTGGGACACTAAGTAGATGAGCCAGACATGCATTTACCAGAACAAATGTCTTCAACGCTGAAGTCTTTCCTCTTGTGAAACCAAATGAATGACCCAATAAATGTTATGTCGTACATGTAACTGTTGTTATATTGTTCAGTCTTTAAAGTGGACAAAAAAAGGCAAAGTACTTTAGTAATTTTTTAATGCTGCTAGTTTTGTTCAGTTTGCAAACACAGTAGAACTACAATTTATGTTGAAGTTGTGACCTCTGTTCGGTGCCCCCTGCCTATCTACAACTTAGGAAAAAACATGTTACAGCCAGTAATTATCAGATTATTGGCATTTCTGTCTGAGTATGTCCAAATATACCACAAATATCACGTTGACCAACAGAAGCCCAGTAGAGTAAAGGATAAAATTTCTGACCAAGGTCATCAGAAAATGTATTTGTATTCTGTTTAGAAAGTTAACAATAAATTTGCAACTTCTGAAAATTGTTGAGCACTTTACCTTTCTTTCACCCATTCAGACTGAATACCATACAGTGTCTCTAAAAAAGTGTCCACCCTCCATGGAGGTTTTTCCCTTTTTATTGCTTTTCAATATTTAATCATGGTCAATTTAAACTTTCTTTTTTGCCCAGAATTTACACAATAAATCTTTTTTTCATGTCAAAGTAAAAACTGATTTCTTCAAAGTAATGTCATTTCAATAAAAATGTAAATTGATTGCACAAGTATTCACCCCCAAATTCAACACGGGTGTAGCCAACTGGGGCCAAAAGTCACACAGCTGGTAAAATACAGATCATTTGAGTCCAGTGAACGTGTCTCAAGAGACTAAAGCACAAGGACACCCGTACCTGATAGGTCCAGTCATTGGTGAATCAGCACTCCTTGTTATGTTTTTTTGTTTTGTTTGTGTATTGGTTTTCCCTTGCTCCTCTTCCCTCCTCCCTCTTTTTGTTCTCAATCATTCCCTTGCAGTGTGTGGCTGAGGGCGTGGCTTGACTCACTGCAGCTGGCTGATTTAATGCACCTACAAATCATATCACCTAATCAAGTCCTCCATAAATCCCTGGCTTCTCCTGTTCTTCAATGCCAAATTGTTTGGCGACTATGGTACATCCACAGCGACTCTCCGGCAACCTCCAGTCAAACAAGAGTATTCATCTTTAGTACTTCTTGTTTACTAATTCACTGATCTTGTGTTCTCATGTCTAGATCCTCCAATGCTGCTGATTCCAATCACCTGTGCTCCAGCCTTCTTTGTGTTCAGCCAGCTCACCCTCCTCTGACTCACCACACCGCCTGCAGATGACCATCTCATCCAACCAGCCCTCAGCCACCTCTGCTTCCCTTTAAAGACTGTTGATTTCAAAAATCTACCTTGTCTACCACTGCTCTCAGTCTTCAGCTTGAGGGTCCAAACCAACAATAAAGCATCTCAGTAAAATCTGGCTACCATGGACCTAGCAAAAACTGAGCGAATCTGACAAACTGTCTCCACCCAAGGTGCCCAAGGGGCACAGCTCTGCAGGAAATAACTGAAGCCTTGTATTGACTAACTGCTAGTGTTTCACAGCTCAACAAATGCATGGACCATGTGACCATCCAACTAACCTCCATTACGCCTGTCTTCAGCAGAGCTCCATCTTCCTCTCCAGCTGCAACCCCAGGCTCCAGCTCCAGTATTTCCCCATGTGCCCTTCACCCCTACTCCCACAAAATACTCAAGTGACATTCAGTCAGTGTGGCCTTGCTTTTGACCACCAGCCCCAATCCTGTCCTACTGATAAGTCTAAAATAGCCTTTGTTATGAGTTTACTATCTGGTAAAGCTTCTGCATGGCCAGTAGTCATATCTTCCAGAAACACCTTTATTAAACAGTCACTAGAGTTATTCATTGAGATACATGAAGTATTTGATCACCAAATTCAAGTTAAGGAAGCCGCTAAAAGGCTATCACTCCCACTGTTTGAATTCTGCCACACCCTCTAATTCCCCTCACTCTTCTGACACTCCTCCGTATGTAGATCTTCCTTTGTACCTTCTGACTACCATGACCTTAGCACTGTTTTTCCTGAAGACTTGGCACTGTCACCTCCACCTCACCGACCATACGACAGCACCTGTGCTCCCTCATTCAGCTCCAACGGAGCAGTTTATTGTTGTGGTGGATGCCTCCAACACTGGATGTGAACATCCGGAACAGAAATTTTTTAGCTCTGGTTCTGGCCCTCCAGGAATGAAGAAATTGGCTAGAAGGCTCTACTCATCCCTTCGAGGTCTGCACCAAGTACAAAAACCTTTCTTTCCTTAGAACTGCTTGCGGACTAAGTTCTTGCCCAGCTTGATGGGCTTTGCTCCTGGGAAGATTCGACTTCACCCTTACCTCCCACCTTTGAACCTGGAACAACAAGCCACATGCCCTTTCTTACCAGTTTGTATCACCTGAGGAGGATTCCACACTCTAAATCATTCTCCCCTCATCCTGTGTGGTTGGTTCGGCCAAGTGGGAAATCGAGCAGGTGATCCAAGAGGCACAGCAGGACCACCCACCTCCAGAGGACTGTCCAGCAGATTGCCTGTTTGTCCTCCAATGCTTCAGTGGGGGCACTCCTCCAAAGTTGCCTGCCACCCTGGATTTAAGTGTACCCTCACTCTCCTCTGTCAGTGTTTCTAGGGGCCCACCATCATCTCTGACACCAAGGAGTTTGTTTCAGCCCTTCTCCATCTGTACCCACAGCAAGGCTTCACACCAAGACTCCTCCGGCCTTCTAAGACTTCTTCCTGATCTGTAGTCAGCTCTTTGTTGTGTCACCGCTTGTTATACTGCCTCTTGGTCCACCCACCTGCCTTGGATAGAATATACTCATAACTCCCTCGTCAACTCTGTCACAGGTATGTCTACATTCATGGATGGAGATGGTTTCCAACCTCCACTCTTCCATACACAGGAGGCAGAAGTCGCTTTCCCTTCAGTGCATCATTGTCTTCAACATGGCCATTGAGTCTGGTGAAGAAACTCGGGTGGCACTGACCTGAACAGCTTGTAGACCATCACTGTTTCCCAGCTCCTGTATGCCAACCTGGGTACAAGGTTTGGCTCTCTACCAGAGACCTTCCACTGCACATGGATTCTTGTAAGCTCGCTCCCAGATACAGTGGTCCAAATGAAATAGAAAAGTTAATCAACCCCAGTGTAATGAGATTCAAGCTCCCTCCTGCTTTTTAATGTTTATCCTGCATTTCATGTATCTTTGTCTGTCTCCACCATTGCTCTGCCCTCTCGCCAAACTTCCCACAGTCTCATGTTTAGATCCTCCTGAGTGCCTCACTGTCAGCTGCTGATTCCACTCACCTTTTCTACCACTACTCTCAGTGTTCTGCTTCTGGGTTCAAACATAAACCGAAACCTCACCCTCCTGGCTATAGCTACACCAAGAAGACAAAAGACCACTCTAAGTAACTCTGTGAAAAGGTTATCGAAAAGCAAAAGACAGCGTATGGATACAAGAAAATATTCAAGTCACTTAAAATGGAGTACAGTTAAATCCATCATGAAGATATGGAAGGAATGTGGCAGATCAGTAAATCTGCCTAGTGCAAATTGTCCTCAAAAACTAAGTGACTCTGCAAGAAAGAGACTTGGGAGGGAGGCCACCAAGACACCTATGACTTCTTTGACGGAGGTGCAAGCTTCAGCGGTTTAGATGTCAGAGACTGTGCATACAAAAACTTGGCCTGGGTTCTTCACCAATCAAAGCTGTGTGTGAGAGTTACAAAGAGAGAGCCACTGCTGAAGAAAGTGCATACTGCAGTACTACAAAGCATGAGCATATGGGAGACTCCTAAATCAACTGAAAGAAGGTTCTTTGATCTGATGAGACCAAAATTGAGCTTTTTGGCCATTAGACAAGATGCTATGTTTGGTGGACACCAAATACTGTCCATCATCACAAACACACTATCCCCACTGTGAAGCATGGTGGTGGCAGCATCATGACATGGAATGCTTCTCCGGAACAGGCTGTGGAAGGCATGTAAAGATAGAGGGTAAAATAAAAGCGACATGGTGTGGGGAAATCCTGGAGAAAAACAAGATTCAGTCTGCAAGAGAACTGCATCTTTAAAGAAAACTTGTTTTCCAGCAAGACAGTGACCTAAAGCATACAGCTAAAGCTACACAAGATGGTTTAACAAGATGGTGAACGTTCTGGGTTAGTCAGACCCTGGACCTCAGTCCAGTTAAAATTTTGGGGCTGTTCACTCTTGATCCCAGTGCATCTTGACGGAGTTTGAACAGTTTTGCAAATAAGAATAGGGTACATTTTTAATGTCCAGATGTGCAAGACTGATTGAGACTTACCCACACATGCTCAATGTTGTAACTGAGGCAAAAGGTGCATCTACTAAATACTGACTTGAAAGAGGGGAATACCTATTTATTTTACATAATTTATGCTTTATATTTTTAGATATGTGACATTGCTTTGTAGAAATCTGTTTTCACTTTGAAATGAAAGAAGTCTATTTTGGTAAGTTCTTGTCAAAAAAGCAAAATATTATGGACCATGATTCAAAGTTGAAAAGCAACAAAAGGGAAAACCTCCAAAGAGGATTAATATTTTTTCTAGGCACTGTAAATAGCAAAAACTGCTTATACAACGTGAAATCAATGCAACATTAACCCTTCATAATAATCATAATGGTCACAGAATATGGCAGAAAACTGACCTTACGCTTGAAACTCGCTGTAAAGTTCTGTAAAGCTTAGGGAAGTCACAGATTCAGATGACGGCTCTCTAAGCTTGCTTTGATAGTAATTTCAAAAAGTATGCAGACCCCTTCACTTGCGTGTGACATCTTTGTCCACTTCTGCGTATGTGGGGCACTTATGGGTCATATGAAGTTCACACAGCAGATCACATACAAGTTGCATTTAATAGGAAATGTGAACGAACTCACAGAAAATCGGATTTCACAAAAATATCCGAATTGTCCTGCAGTCTGAACGGAGCCAATCTGTTGGATTGTTAGGTCGGATAATACGCCGTTATCCCTATTTGTGACATAAAATGTCATGTTGGAGTCGGAATCCAAGGCTGTCTGTATGATATGGCTATTTTTAATGGGTTCCATTTGTTTTTCCTAAAAGCCCGTTGGATAGCAAGGTTTTCAGATTGTTAAGGGTCAGATTATTGAGTCACAACTGTACTAGTAACTTAGAAATACACTATTAAACTGTTACATTCCCTTGTCAATTTATGTCTGCTTTATGCTTTCTCTAGATTGACCGACAGCAGTTTGACAAAATTATGGATCTGATAGAGAGTGGTAAAAAGGAGGGAGCCAGACTGGAGTATGGAGGAGGGGCTGTGGGTGAGAAGAGCCTCTTCATTCAACCCACCATCTTCTCCAGGGTTAAAGACCACATGCGCATCGCCAGTGAAGAGGTTATAACTTGTTTTATTGTATTGTATTGTATCTGCGAATCACCCTGACACAGTTACAGAGGTGAACATGTCAGTGTGTAAAAGTAAATCCTGACTTCTGTGAAAATGTGCTTTAATTGCACAACAAACATGGCAGAGAGTTAGGCTGCCCAGCCAACACTAGTGAGGAGTTGAGCACACAAGTCAGGAAAATTTGGGTCACATTGTTTGAATTTGGTAGAATATTGTTTGTGACAACAAAATTCAATATTAGGAGATGATTTGAAATTACTTCCAAATAAACTCCTATTTTCATATGTGTATATATATATATGTGTGTGTGTGTACACACACACATACACACACACACACACACTTGTTCGTAGCATGTATATCGTGGCAGTCCTGAGTTTACAATGACTCTGTGTGTGTGTGTGTGTGTACACACACACATACACACACACACACACACTTGTTCGTAGCATGTATATCGTGGCAGTCCTGAGTTTACAATGACTCCTACAACTCAGAATTTTCTAAGACTGGATCATTGAAACCCATGCATGTTTGTCACAAAAAACAATCATTCATTTTGTTTGTTTTTTTAATAGATTTTTATAGGTCTGGAAATATGACAAAATCACATAAATCTGTTGGGTCAAAAATATAATACTTGATTAAGCATCCCCAGCTAGGCACTTTGGATAGCCATCCACAGGCTTCTGGAATATATATATATATATATATATATATACATATATATATTATGAACTGAGAATTCTTTTCTGTCACAGCATCAGCTAATAGGTTCACAGCCCTTTTGCTGTATGGCATTACTAAGCAATAGAAATGATACACGGAATTACCTTTATGAAAAACTCCTGTATATTGGACTGTGCATATTTCTTTATAATCTATTTTTTAGATACTCCAGTTATTCTTTTCTCAGTTTAAACTACACATTATTTTTTATAAAATATGGAATCATCACAGAGGACAGTATATTCTATCATTTGATTTGACAGTGTGACTAATTTCTCTTTACATGTGACTGGTCTTTATGGATATCTTTCCCCTTCCAGATCTTTGGTCCAGTGCAGTGTATATTCAGTTTTAAGAGCCAAAAGGAAGCAATAGAGAGAGCAAACAACTCACAGTATGGCCTAGTTTCAGCAGTCTTCACAACAAGTATGGACAGAGCTCTCTCTGTGTCTGCAGCCCTGGAGACTGGCACTGTTTGGTAAGTCCCTGTTCATTTTACATTTCCCTGTTTAATACTTAAAAATGCTTCATGTAAATGTCATAGAACATCCAGTTAACATCATAATGGCTTCAACCAATAATGCATTTGATAAAAATCTAGTTGAAAAAATGTTGAAAAAATTGCAAACTCCACTGCCCACACACTATTGCCTTACATACTAAAATGTGCGAGGCTACACCATGTTTATCATACAAAATTCACAATATTTTTCAGCATAGCTTTCTTGCTCAGCCCTTCTTCTACTGTCTTTATTCACTTAACAATCACAGTGTTGTACAGTTGTGAACAAAAGCCTATCCACACTTATCAAGATCATGCATATCATGGCAGTGTTGAGTTTCCAATGACTTCTATAGCTCTAGTTTCTATGATGGAATCATTGAACCACATTCATCTTTGTTTCAAAAGTAATAATGCGTTTGTTCTTTCATAGATTTCTTTATTGGTCACCAGAAAAAATGAGACAATATTTTTGGTCAAAAATATACATACAGCAATAACTCAGGTGTTGTCCACTAATCATGGCCCCTCTATTTGCCGAAGTGTCCTTGGGGGAAGACACTGAACCCCATGCAAGGTGCTCAACGGTCACTGCAAGATCAGGATGAAAATGCAAACTATCACCTGCAGCTGAGAGACAGTTGGTCAGGATTGTCAGGACTCAAACTAAAACCTGAGAGGCTACGGTGCAAGAAGGAAACGTTTTCTCCAGAAAAGGCACCTCAGGGCTCAACTACTGTTGATCACACAGATAAAGAAAAGGCCCTCTGGAGGAAGGTTGTGTGGTCAGATGAAACAAAAATTGATCTATTCAGCCACAATAAGCAAAAATGTGTTTGGAGAAGGGACGATGAGGCCTTTACCTCTGAAAACACCTTCAAGCATGGTGGCTTGATGGTATGCTCTGGGGTTGCTTTGCTGTCAGAAGAGCTGCTGCTAAGTAAAGAAGGAGGATTACCTCCACATTCTTCAGGAAAACCTAAAACCATCAGCCAGAAGGTTGGGTCTTTGGATGCAGCTGGGTGTTCTTACAAGAAAATGGCCTCAAACAGACATAAAAAGTGGTAAAGAAATGGCTAAAGCCAACAAACTATTGAAACTGCACTAATTCTGTCAAAAGAAGTGGTCAAAGACATAACCAGAAACTTGTGGACGGCAACAAAAATGCATAATTAAACTGAAAATGGACTTTTAACCAAATATTGGCATTACTGTAAGCATATTTTTGACCCAGCAGCAATGGTCTGCACTTATACAGCACCTTTCTACCTTAGTGGTACTTAAAGCGCTTTGCAATGTTTTCCCATTAATCCATTCACACACACACATTCATTCACCAATGGGAACAGAGATGCCATGCAAGGTGCTGCCTGCCATTGGGAGCAACTTTGAGTTCAGTGTGTTGCCCAAGGACACTTTGACTGTGGAGGGGATCGAACCACCAACCTTAGGATCAGAGGACAATTGCTCTACCACCTGAGCCACAGGTGTTGGCATTGGCAGGTGGATTTTATGTTTTATTTTTTCATACTGAATTAGGCAAATCATATACTGATATGGGTACCACGAGGCTGCTTGCCTCACCTGGAAACAAGAGGTGTAACTCCCATTTTGGGACATAACTGAAGCAGAAGCAACCCAATGTGGCTTTGAACTTTTGCCCCATGTGCCTTACTCAGCTGACCTGTACTGACTGACAACTGTGCTATGTGGATGGCACCATTTTGCCCCCAAGAATGGGAGTTTGTTTGTTTTCAGTTTTGTGGTTTAGCCTTATTTTTTTTATTTTTTTTAACAAGTTAAAGATGACAACAAATAAAATCAGAACACTGAACTCACTGTCTTTCTGTTAGGATAAACTGCTACAATGCCCTTCATACCCAGACTCCCTTTGGAGGGTATAAGATGTCAGGCAATGGACGAGAGCTGTAAGAACCATCACAGTTTCTCCATATTTCATGTTGTTGGATTATACCTGTTTATTGTGTATGCCCTAACCCCCTTGTGTGTTGTCTCTGTCCCATCAGTGGAGAGTATGCTCTGGCTGAGTACTCTGAAGTTAAAACAGTGACCATCAAACTGAGTGAAACCATATGAGAAGAACTGGGAAAAGTCCAATGTTCTGCACTTCCAGTCACATCAGGCTATATCACAATTCTCTTCAACCCTAACATTCCTATTACTGTCTTCAGTCAAGCTCATTTTGTTGAGCCAATATAGCAGTCTATAGAGAACGTCATAGCACTAGTGTCATCGTTTGTTCACTGTTTATATACTGTAGGTAAGGATAGGATGTTACTCAACAGCTTAATTAATGTTAGTATATAAAACTGGTACTTTGTATATTTCAAAGAATATCCCAATAATTTATTCTAAAGTTCTACGCAAGTATGTGATTTCATACTTTAGAGAAATTAGACACAGTGTTCAGTTGGTATATATCCAACTAAACCATGAGGCACAGCAAGTTAGCACATTTACAGATGTAAAATGTGTCTTCTGCCAAGCATACGATCCGGTATATGTGACAAGTGAAGTTTCGAGTAATAAATTAATAATCACTAAATATTTACTTGGGTTTAAATGGAGTGGCTCTTTCAGTGACATTTACATTTTTACTCATAATTAGTAACCAACTTTGGATTTTTTATTCGGATAACACAAAAACATAAAATGAGCTTCATTAGAGGATGAAACTTACTCATCATGGAGTTTTTCCACTTGTTACAACATGGAAGCGTTCAGACATCTTCATGTTGTCTGTTTCTGCTGTTCATTCAACGTCTTGTCCAGGGTTCTTTTTCACTGAGTATTGTTCTGTTGTCTCTTACATCAGAACAGGTAAGTGACCTGTGGCATCTGTTTTTATTCTATAATTCCTTGTTCACATTTCCTGAAAAGTATTTTCCTGAACCTGCGTTGTGACTTAAATATATAATCTTTGAACAAAGACAGCAGCAACTATCTATATTCCACCACCTATTATCAATATAGGCAATATGGGAAGATCAAGAAAACATTTTATTTATGCACTGTCTGAGTACCTGATGTATGCAGACTTACTTTTTGTTTCAAACCTGGGTGCAATTAAATGCAAATGTTCTTTCTACCTTTTAAATGTTGGAAGAAACTCTGTTTCCTGTCCCAGATATTGCAAAATTTACTTTTCCAGTAACATTTTAGTACTGTTATAGCAACAATGTTATTATTACATGCATAGTGCCATTTAAAAAAAATGTATTTTATTATTTTAATTGTTTTTTGTTTAAATCAACATATATGGTTTGAATGGGAAATAAGCATGTGATAGGTTTTCTCACATTACTTTTGTACCTGAATAGAAATTCTGAATAAAGGGAATCAAAGAGATGTTGTGTATCAGTCTTTGCACCCTACCTATAAAAATGTTAAGTCTTTTATGTGAAAAAAACAAAACAAAAACAAAAACGAAGATAAAGGACATACACATAAACATGTACCTAAGTTAAAAAATATTTATATCCCTTTTCAGAAATTATTGGCAACACCTTTATTTACGACCATGCCAATCAATCTCTGCTTATGATTTTATAATTGCCAACAAGCATGTCTCCATTGGGATTACAGACCACCCCTCTTGTGCAACAATCTCTAGCTCTTTGAAGTCAGGAGGCTTCCTTGCCAGCATATGGTCTTCAGTTGCTCGATGGGATTCGAAGGTCCAATGCTGCAGAAGGCCAAAGTTTCCAGCTGACTGTCTGATGTTTTCCTCCAGAATCTTAAAGTAAACCTCTTCTATCATGTTTACTGAATTTTAACCACATGGGTAAGGTGTTCTTGGAGTTGAATGCTTCTTTTATTTCGCTGACCAAGGAGGACTTCACTTCTTCAAAACAGCTCATCTTGACAAAAATGACAGGTTTGCTTATGTTTTGTGGTTGTATGAGCTAAACATGTCGTTGTTTGTACATATTGACATGGTTTTTGGACAAACAGTCAACCAAGAGCTGTAAATCAAATTTTGGCACGAGTATACATATGATATGCATAGATAGATAGATAGATGGATAGATAGATAGATAGATAGATAGATAGATAGATAGATAGATAGATAGATAGATACTTCATTCCTCTACATGGGGACATTCACTCTTTATTCAAATAAAAGATATGCAATAGCAACAAAAAATAAATAAAAGTAAACTAAAATTAAACTAAAGATTGGGTAAAGAGCAGGATGTATAATTAAGGTGCATGGTGTATAAAATATCCCTAAACATTTCTTTAGGGATATTTATATAGCATGGACCACATACTACATGATTTACTAAAGGGCCATGACAGACATTTGATGGTCATTTTTTATTGGCCACAAATAGAACTGGCTTAGTAATACAGAGAACTATACAGCTAATTATGTTACAATGATGGAGGAAATGTTAAAAAATAAATAAATATGTGCTAAAGTCTTTATAGTACATTTTGGTACATTGTGCTTACAGTATGGATGTTAAAACAGAAGGACAGTTTTGGGGAATAATTTCACCCACTGCAAATTGCTTTGTTCTTGAAAAAGTGTTTGAAAAATCAAAAACTATATTATCCTTATTGGAATTTGTAAATTGTTATGATTTATTTCTTATTGTCATTGATATCACCAAATGATACCCAGAAAACACAGAAAAACATTTTGCTGTAATTTATGCCTGTGGCTAAGCACTTCAGATGTATGACCTTGAGTTTAACATTGACCTTTCGTCCAAGGTCAAAAGTCACATCACCAATATGTGTCTGATTGCGATAAGAAACTATGAGTTAATCTTACACCTTTTCCAAATTGTAATGGATTAAAAATCTGGGATGATTTAAGACCTTCAGTGTGACCTTGACCTTTGTTTCAAGGTCATATATTATGTCATTAGTTTATAGGCCTTAAAAATCTTCCTAAGTTAGTATACTAAACTTATGTCTTACTGTGCATTTTCAGTCACGCAGTGTATTGACCCCAAAATCTAATCACTCTGAGAAGGGAACATATGGAGGTCATGTATGAAGTTTCAGGTTTAAACTCCTCTCCTGTAAAGCTTTAGACTGTTAACAGGCTCCTGCCCCCCACCAAAAAAACAACAAACAACGACACACACCAGCACCATTACGCTACAGTTGCCCAACTATAAAAACTAATTATTAATTGACATTTACTTCGTTATGTCATTGCATATGTGCACTTCTGAAAGCAAAGATCTGGTGAAGACGTTATAACTTATTGTCTTTGTTCAGGACTCGTCACCGGCTATTATTTTGAAATACTATCCCGGATGTGCTGTTTTTAAAAAAAATGGTAATATTGACGTTATTTTGAAAATGACCGGAGACTCCGCTGTTGCCTGTCGGAGTCCGCGTGTATCCGGATTGGAAAGTTTTGCTGGTGGAATCAGGAAGTCTAGTGATCCGCTGAGAGCAGCGCACCGAGCCGCTGAAAGCAGCACACCGAGCCGCCGCTGCTGGAGCCCGTCGTGATGCTGCCTGGACCTCCGGACCGAGCGGTGAGCCGGGTCACGCTGCTTCATGTCTGTTGTCTAAGCTGCAATCAGTGCAGTGGTTTGTTAGATCTGGCATGTGACGCTATCACTGGAGAAAAAGAAACTAATCCCGATGTAAAAATCTGCTTCTCAACTTAACATTTTCCTGACTTAGTTCATTTGCACTCTTCATTGCTGTGATTTTCAAAACATCCCGGTTCTGACATGTCTGCACTCTGCAGCTTGTCCACGCACCCAAACACTGCGCAGCTGGCTGAGGTAAATTATGTAGGAGTGAAATCTGACTTATTTGTAGAAGCTGAATCTTATAAATAACTTGATTCTCAACATTAGACCAATTCTACTTGTCGGAGGGAGAGAGACTGAGGAGACAAGGGCAGGAACAGACATTCAGAGAATCAGTGGCTATATTTACAGAAGGGCCCGCCTACAATCACTGTAATGTCATGTAATGTCATGGCTCCATGCAGGCACTGAGGAGGAAGGTTTCAACTGAGTCTGCCCGAACTCACAGGAACACTGTGGTGAGGATGGAACAACTGAATAAACTACTTACTTCTGCACATAAAACGTCTTATTTTGCAGATTGTTAGAATCATGTTTTTCTTGCCTCTGTGCCCTGTTTGTCCACACAGATTCCGAGGTTTGGTTTCCACTAGGGGATGTCTCTACTAGGGATCAACCAATACGTTTGTTTATATATTCTTTAGGGCAGATGTTGATATCGATTATTGGTAATCAAGAAAGGCTGACAACAGATATTTGGAATCAAAACACATTAAAAGTTATTCATTAACAGCTTGTGATAGCAGATAAACTATATTTTATAACTAGGTTTGTTCATTAACGAGGATGAATGCCATTACGAAAGCAACAATTTAACAAGCGCCTTTCAACAGTCTCTTTTGTGATCGAGTTCCAAATAGTTTCAAGCTGTTCCCACAGACTTGCTTTAGATTAAACTTTTCTTTGAATGTACTACATCCCAAATTTGTTCCATAGGATTCAGAGCATGACTTTGCTTGGCCAGTCCATCAGTTCCAGTACTCCAGATTCCTGTTTCTTGGTTAAATAGTCTCTGCACAGCTTTGAAGTATGCTCAGGCTCATTGTCTTGTTGGTATAAGAACCCACAACCAATCAGATTCAGTCCGGAAAAGGTTTTCATGATGCACTAAGGTGTTGTCGCAGTCTCTAGTACTTCAGATCTTGAGGTCTCTGACATCTGCTTCAGTTAACTTTATGTTTTATACCCTAATCTGAGCTGACTCACTGGGCTTCAGAAAGGAATCAAACATAACATTCAACCACTAAAACTAATTTGTGTGTTCAGGACTGCAATTAAATAACTATAATTTGACATCTTAATAAAAAAAAAAAAATAATGTGCTTTACAGTTTTCTGTTTATTTTTTTTATTTTTTTTGCAAAACAGTACATTTGAAAATTCATGGATAACAATAGTAATTATATAGAATAGAATAGAATAGAACTTTATTTATCCCTTTGGTGGAAACCTCAGGGAAATTGTTGATATCTTGGCATTAAAAATATAATTTGGATTAAAGACTGGGATATTAAACATTACAGAAACATAATAAAGGATGTTAGTAATTACCAATGCTGTTAATTTAGGGCAGCTGTGGCATAAACCCTACACTGGGTGGAGGTCTAATACATGTGTTGAGCACTGTACATTGAATTGTATATAATGCAGGGAACCTTTCATTTATATTGAGACTTCTTCATGAATAAGGATTATAATTACTGAATATCTACAGCAGAGATCAGAGGATAACATTTGAGTGCCACTTGATTATAGGTAGATCAACTGATTGAGATCAATACGTTTGTCTCCTGCACTCTGTCTGCTTTTCCTCTCAGTTCTGTCACTTTAATTTGCCCCAAAGGTCCAGACCCTGAAGCATTATTTCTTACTGTTTTTCAGACTGTTTCAGGGTAATTTGCTGCTGCCTCCTAACTTAGCTGCTAGCCATTAGCATAGCTTTAGCCACTGTGAAAGAAGCTAATGTCATGATTTGTGGAAATGTCTGCTAGAGAGACATGTCTGTCAGTTAGAACAGAGTGTCAAAGATAGTCTGACTTTAGAAAGATGTTACATTACAGTGTCATATTGTTGAGTGAACACCTGAACCAGTCAGCTGTTAGATCAGGTGAGAACCGAACATTTCTCATCATTCCCTGAGGCTGTGCAGTCACTGGGGATAAAAT